GTTTTCTTCAGATTATATCATTAGTGACATTTGCACAAATTTACTTACTTACCATGGGCTTTCAGGCAAGGTGGGTTCTTTCCATCTTGAGCATCATCACAACAGAAACTAAATTGGGTCATCTTATTTTTTTATGATTAAGATACTGTTTATTTCTAAGAGGCAACTAGATCACAGTGTTGAGTACCGCATATCAGCCTAGAGCCAGATCCTCAGCTGGTTTAAATCAGCACAGCTCCACTGAAGTCAGTGCTGATTCGCACTGCACAAAAATTTGCATTCACATTTTGCCATACTTAAATCTGGAGGCCATTCTTGAAAATTTGTCCCTACTTTCTTAATACACAGACTCGCCACTGCACCTTTTCCTAGGCATGCTTAACAGTGAATAAGGGTTGACAGAGCTATGGGTACAGTAATACCTTTAGTATATATTGTATTGCTTAGTTATAGCTAATTGAAAGGGGCAAGAAAGCCTGCTGTGGTTTACAGAAAAATTTTAATAAACCATAATATCCACAGTGAAAAGCAGAACAGACAGAGTATATACACAAGTTCTAAGACAGGGATAGTCAATTATTTTTTGACAAGGTCTAAAATTTCTTGGTCAAGGTATAGTCAAGTTTCAAAGAACAGGAGTACTTGTGACACCTTAGAGACTAACGAATTTATTTGAACAAACTTTTGTGGGCTACAGCCCACTTCATCTGGAGTCAAGGTTCAGACTCCAGAGAAATATAAAAAACAAGTAAATAAAAAGATTTCAGGGTCCAAGTGAAAAGCATCTGGTGATCCAAATTTGGCCCATGGTTCACCTATTAACTACCCCTGTTCGAAGGTTTTGGATTAATGGTTTATAAAGTGTTAACAGGGTCTCTGAAATGCAGATTAGCCCAGAGTGCCTTAACTGGAAACATATTTCACTCAGTTGCAAGAACACTTCTAAAACCCATTATGTTTTAAGGAAAATGAGTATCATTCTCTATTAAAATTAAGAATGTAGGGAAACCGTTTTATTCTATTAGTTGCATAAGAAACAGCAAGTTTCAACATCCTAATATAAACTGTTGAAGCTTTACACAGATGAGGAAAGGATATGCACTGTATCACATACTACTAGTCTACTCACAAGAATGTGATCAGTAAACAAGTTTTGGAACAATCTCAGTCCCCAATAGCTACAAACATAATTCAGAACCTATAACAGATGCACAGCAGGATAACTACTAAAAATTATTGAATATATCCCATAATAAAAAATAAATAAATAAAAAATATAAGAAGAGATTCATAGCATTGGATATTGAACTTGGGCACCAGCATGCCAAAACAAAAAAGAAATTTACGGTTAGTCAATAATGCCTTCTAATTATGGCTGAAATGGACAATGACCATAGTCAACAATTACTCTTGATGTGGGGTAGTTTTGGTCAACTTTGGCTTGTTTTTAGAACCAATTCCAAGATTCCCCAAAATATTTAAAAAAAACTCTAAATTATATTTGTAGGGAGATTAAACTGACAAAAAATAATTGTTACCTTAAACTCTATTTGCCCTGTTATTTTATTTTCAGTTTTCAAACAGCAAGGGTAAAATCCTAGTATACCAGAAATCAGTGCAGGTTTTGCCACTGATCATCATGGAACCAGGACCTGGCCTCATGTATCTTTTACTTTTATTTTATAAACCATCAAATGTTTCAGTCTGTGGGGATTTTCATAGCACACATTGGTATAGGAAACAGTCTTTTACCACAGAGACTCAACCACAGCAGCTCTGTCAACTCTTGTCATGGAAAACCATAAATAACCAACCAATCCTGGCCTACATTTTGAAACCACTACCCCAACCATGTACCTGCTGTGGTTTTTTGCTTTGAAATCTAGCTGACATGGGAAGATTGCAGATAGCTACATTCCCCAGGGCCACTTATTAGTTCTTTTCAGTCAGGTAAGTGGGGTAGGAAATCATATTTGTTTCATAAAAACAACTCCACCACACATCCACAAAACCATGCACTCAAACTGTCTAAGTTTTTATTAAGATTGCTTAACTTGCATGCAAATTGGCCATGATCAGTGATGGAGCACATTCAGAGTTCAGCAAATTAATTGCTGTGCACTTGAATAATGGAAAGCTTACATATAATTTATTACTTTGTATTATATCAGGGATCTTTTCTCTGTTTCCATCTAATTTGGTAGAAGACTATGAACACTCAAAGAAAATGTCTCTAAATAAGAATGATCAAAAATAGAAAAATCTCTAAAGTCTTATTCAAGGTAATAATTTTGTTTTGTTTTTTTTTAAATAAGAGTGCAGTAGACAAATATAAAACCAACTCATATGAATCTTCAGTATTTGCTTTACATCTTTATCTGCTAATAAAAAGCAATATACAAGAGCTAGGTATTATTGCATAAAACACTGAAATAACTTAAAATCCTGAAACTCTGAATTACAGTTCAGTTAAGACACTGGTTGTTGGGTTTTCTAGTTCTTATTTGTGAAGTTCTGCAACTGCTATGTCAAGAAACTTTTTTTTTGGCGGGGGGGGGAAGGAAAGAGAGGCAACAAGTATAAAGAAGCTTGTGCCTGTATTAGAGAACAGTACTGTCAGAGTTTTGCTGGCTAGACAAGTTAGGAAGTCACTACATCAGATAGCATACACTGAAAAAACTGGCAAAAGAAAACTGTCAATATTACTTTAAACTGGGTTCATTAAACAAAATGTATTGATTTTATCCCTGAGTCCTACTTTAATTTTTAAGACCAAAAAGTGCAGCCCTAATTTTAGATTTGTATATTTTATAAAGCTACATCATAAAAACCTTTTGGTTCTCAGCCTTGTATAATTTTAGTTCAGATACTGTCCCCTCTAGTGGTGACTTAAAACATTGTGTTCTGAAAAGCAATGCGGGCTCAGATATTTCTAGGGACAGTACAGTATCAATGTGATTAAAGTGCAAGCTTTCCAGAGAAACCAACATCATACATAGTTCATTTAATTAAAAAGCTTATTATTTGCACTTCCAAAATGGCAAGTGCTATAAATATTGTTTGAGAAACTGCACTGGAAGACAAATAACGGGTGCGGAATATTTTAATTCTTTAGCACAAAGTTGCAAGTAATCTCCAGAGCAAACTCTGTCCCCTTGTGACCTATGAATATTTAATACCATAGGCATACACACAAATATATCAAGAGGAACATATGCAGACTGCAGAAAGTGGTATACCAAAACACTCACAGAGATCACAGTATTAGCACTTATAGTGCTAATAGTAAGAAACTAAGCAAAAAAAGGGAATGAGACAATATAAATGTAGTTCTCATGAGAACATTTCATGCCTGCAGAGAATAGAATGCTATACATTTCACTCTATGTTCTGACAAAAGACCAAATATTGATCGCCTTTCCCATTCAAAACTCCCTTTGGACCAAGTTCTGCTAACTTTACTCTCCCAAAATGTCTGATTTGCATGTTCAGTTTATAAACATATATGCAAAACACCAAGTGCAATAAAGCCCGGTGTATACAGACAACTATTTATAGTACTTGATTTTGGAACAAGATTCTACAAGGTACCTTCTAACCTGCCAATACCCAAATGTGGGACACAGCATGTGACAGACTCAAAATGAGGAAAAAAATATTTCAGGAAAACTTTAAAATGCTCAGATTCAGTCATGTAGCATAAATAACTAAGTTTCCTGGTTCTTTATTTCCCATGTAAACAATTTTCAACAATACAAGTCCAAATTTGTGTGGAATGTAGGTAGCTTTGGGACAAAAAGTAGTGATATCCTTCAAAATGAGGTACAGTTCAGAGGTATGTTTTGCACTAGCCTATTTTCAGTGTCAGGAGAGTGAGGACTAGGATAATAACTATGAGGATAGAGAAGACTGAAAATTGTGCTGGCTGGAGCCAGTATCATTTAAAAGGAGTGAAGACAATCAATTTCTAGTAAATGAAATAGAGAGTTTGGGGTTAAATAGTATGTAAAGATAATGTTCTAATCAACAGAAAGTTAGCACTTTTGTAAAATAATAAATAGAATTAAACCATTGTCACAGAAGAGGCTGGAGGGGGAAGGACAGAGGAAGCCACTGAAGGTTGACTCTCACAGGCCAGTCTAAGCAGGACAAAAAATAATTCAGACTCTCAAAACAAATACACTCTGAGAAGTTTTACTGAAAAAAAGGCCTTTCCCCATTTAAGACTACACAAAGTTGCCCTCAGCTTACGACAGCCAGGATCCCAGCAAACAGAGACCATGGCTTACCTCAGTCAGATAAAGTAGAAGGACATCATTTGCTTCAGCATAGTCCAGAAGAACAATTTCTCTGGCATACTTTCCCACCCCCGGAGTCTCCTCCTTCACCAAGCCCTTTCCACTGATTCTCCTTCCCTTTTCTGGTGATACTAGGCAATTCATTAGTTACCCACAACAAGGTCCATCCCTCTCTACTGCACATCTGTGCAGTAATGGCAGGCAGCTGTGATCTTTCTCCAAGGCAGGAGGAGACCAAAGGGGAAGAGTGTAAAGAAGTAATAAGCTGCAGGGGGCATACTTTAGAACCAATCTCAATTTTTCTTGTCCATTACATTAAAGACTGCACCATTTTCTTATTTTATTTAGCAAAGCTCTAACAAACCTGGAATCACATCCAATGAGCTGAGCCCTCTGGGTCAAGAGGAAAAGCATCCAGAAGAATCTACTTACTGTTGAGTGGTACTATTTTGCTTCTGAGCCACTTAGAGATTGAGTCTCAGCCTTAACTTTCTGATCTCAAAAAAAAGAACAGGAGTACTTGTGGCACCTTAGAGACTAACAAATTTATTAGAGCATAAGCTTTCGTGGACTACAGACTAACACGGCTGCTACTCTGAAACCTTTCTGATCTCAAGTTCCTTGTTTCTTCCTATTTTTTATTTTTAAAGATCATAACTGCAGATATCTTTTCTACTACATTAAATAAAACCAACCAGCATATTTAACAAAAAGAAAATGTTTGTTTTATTCTGAACAGCAGATCGGTCTTTACAATAAAGTCATGATTTTAACTTACAAAGTCAGCATCAGCAATGCATCTTCCCTGAATAGGAAATTTTACCTTTTATCAAATATCAACTTTAAATGTAAACAAAATGAAAACCAAAAGCACTCCATTGAGATAACAGAATATATAACAAGAGTCTTCATAGATGACAAATGAATCAATTTACACTTCAGGTCCTTCTCCTCCAGGAACCAGCTGTATAAGAAAAGGACAATTTAAGAGATGCAGTATGAAGAAGCATAGTACACGTTCGATTTCAAGATTTAAAGTGAGAATTGTCAGATATGACTTTGTACATATTTATTATTAAACACTACTGAAAATATTTTTAAAACAGATGGAAAATTTAAAGTAATACTAGAACACACGTGTACTTTTATAGGTAAACTGACCCATTTTGAACTAAATCACTCCCTAATTCTATTCTTACAAAGAGCAGCTAAATAATCAGATAAAATGAGTGACATTATAGCTTTTATAAGATAGTAAAATGTTGTGAAACTTCCTGTGCTTGCTAAACTCCTATTCTGAAATTTTCTAGCCTATATTGTGTATCATTTATACCATGACTGATTAGTATTTGAGCAGAACATTTACCAATGTAAATGTTCTCATTTTATATATGTATTTTAGCCAACAAGTCATGATTGAATAAAACTTTTTCCTCACTCCAGTGGGAATCTGTTGCCACCAGATAAATGCATGCTTAGATATGTTTCAGGAATGAGAAACCAAGAAATGTAGGAACATTCAACACAATAAAAAGGAATGTCTAGATAAAAACCTGCTACTAATTTTCTTTTCTTTGGCATTCAGTTGGTGGGAAGATTTTCAGTTTAAAAACACAATAGCACACTTTTAAAAGTAGATGGACTATAAAGTTCACTTCCTAAATGAGGAACAGTTTTTCTGCTCCTGTCTCCTCTCTTCTTCTTCTTGTGTAGCAGCAGCCCCAAATAAAGGTATACAGGTTGGCTGCTCATTTCCAGCTGCTTTTACAAACAGACTTGCTTTATAATGAAGAGCCTGGACATTCACAGATGCAGTTGTAACAAAGAGGCAAGACAGCACCATGTGCTCTCTTCAGAGTGCAGTTTAAGAGCAATGCTTTAACTCAATAAACTTTAAAGAAAGAAATGTAAAAAAGATATAGGAACTATCATATTTATTTTACGGACATTTCTCTTTATTTAAAAAAACAAAAATTGAACAAGTAGTTTTTTTCTTTAAAGACAATAGACAAAACAGATTACCATGATAGGTATTATTGTGCAGTCTTTAGTCATTCAGGTCCTCATCCTACAACATTTAAGCAAGTACTTAGTCCCTCTGATTACAGTGGGCCTTAAGCTTCTCTGGTGCAAAATCTGGCCCATAGTCTCATAGCAGGCAATAGGAAAAATAAAATATTGGCTGCAGTATCAGACCTACAATAATCAATTACTGCTTCAGCCCCGATTCGCATGCATCAGGAGTATTATGTTCTAAGTTTACTGTACGTTAAGATACAACTAAGTTCATGCTTATATTTTCACTTTTGTTTTCAAAACATAACATGCAACATGTGTAATCAAGAAATTTAAGTCTAGGATTACAGTATGAGATTTCATGTGATTATTCCGTCAGAACATGTTTTTAAAATTTAAAATAAATATGAGGTCAATCTTAGTTGAATGATTTAGTCAATAACTGAATTCCACATATACTAAGAACCAGTGCAAAAAGAAGTAGTACACCTGACTTACCATTGTTATGTTATTTCCATTTAGCAAGATCTGATCTAATTTTGTTATTCTTCTTCCTTCAGGTGTGATTTCACTGATCAAACATTAGGAAGAAAAATATTTAGTATATAAAGTTTACAAAATAAATCTGGACTTGTGGTAAGAGCTGTAGTTACACATGGCTCTGTAATAGGCTGGGTTATTTACCAAGAGTAACACAGAATTTAGATGAATCACAATACAGTTTTGGGACATCCTCCACTGCCCTCAACATATGAAAAAGTTTCAACTGGCAACATGAATAATGTTGCAAGATAAAGGTAACAAATGCTTTCTTATCCCAGATTACACCTACTTTTTAACTCTTTGCCTATGTGTCAAAAACAAACATTAAACTAATGGAGAATTCAACATGGAGTTCAGGGGAAAAGAGTCAAGGGTGCCGAACAGGAAATGTTAAAAAAATTTAATATGACAAAATGAGTGACTGCCACTCTGTGAGGCCAACTTCAGTACAAAAAGAAAAGAAAATCCTTAATCCGAGTCTACTAACTCAATGTGAAATCCTAGTAAAGACAAGGCAATTTATAGCCTTCACATGAGTTACCAGGCTGAGTTCAAAAACACTTTTTTTTGTTTGCAGTGAAGAAGAGGTACAAGAAGTTTCACCTTTTGCAAAGGCAATACATCTTTAAGTGCTCTATAGCTGGTTAGCAGATGACCTGTTACCTACCAGTCAGAATAGAAAGCCAAACCACAAAGCATGGATACTGGTGTGCTAAGCACACTCAGCACCTGACTTTGCCACCTGCCACACACAGCTATTTAAGAGCTGGCTGTACAGAATGAATTCCCATTGGATTATTTACAAATAGTTTAAATTTAAAGCCTAAATTACTCAGTTGTGTCAAATCTTTTAAAGAGGTCAAAATGGTTTGCTTCCTAATTCAATATACTTCTTCCGTAAATGGGAAAGAAAAAGACAAAAAAGCACACAAATAGCCACAAAAAAACAGAAGCAATACTTACAACTCTGTAACATCCTCTAACACCATGTCTGAAGTCTACTGTCAAGGAAAACAAAGAACTAAAATAGCCTTGATTTAATAACTTTACCTGTATTTTCATTTTATAAAAACGGTGTGGCCTAATTTTTAAAATAATTTCAGCTAGTGTGGCATATTTATCCATGCAAAAAGTAGAAGCATTCATTCTAGCCACCTAATTCAAAATATCCAAAGAAACAGCTAAATAATGAAGCTTATTCTAAAAAGAAAATTGGTAAATAGCAAATATTACATTTAAAGGATACTGACAAAGTCATCAAATCCTAAGAGTGTGCCAACAATTTCTTTATCACTCTTCATCACAATGTGAATACGTGAACCTATACACTTGTCCACAAGCTCTGTAAATCAGAAAATATTTTATACAAGATTACAATCTAAACTTAAACATATACTAAATGGTCAGCTTTTTTAACACATTCCTGTTAAGAATATGTGGCAAAACTGTACACATTCAAAATGATTACCAAGAATACTTATAAAACCGTATATGCAAAAATAGTTTTTATTTTTATATCCACTATTAATCATAAGGTGCATCCTAAGATATCTGTAAAACACCTAGAACATATTGAGCACTATATAAATATATATATAGGCTTAGCAGAATTTAATTTTCACTTTTATAATTTTGACAGATTGTTTATTTTTAACCTTTTAAGATTTTTATCTAAATTTTCACAGCTTTGCAAAATTATGGGCTTTAAGCATTTCTCCCCACCCCAATTTTTAATCCATTTACATTTTCACAGCTACAGTAAATTATAGCGGATCTGACAATTATTTAATGACAGACACTGAAATTCAAAAACTTAAAGTTTTATAATGTAAAAATAAATTATGAAAATATACAAATATCCTTATAGCAAACTCTAATAAGTTCTCAAGCAACATTTTTCTTATTTTGCCCTTGGAAATTTCAAGTATCGATGGAAATATTGTTTTCATCAGTTTGTGTACAGCGAAATCAATGTTTACCAATATTTAGGGATAAAAATATAATCCTCCCAAGCTTAAGTATGTAGCAACTGACTTTGTGGTGAAGGTAGAATATTATTATTACTGTTCATCTGTTTTGGTAGTGCCCACAATGTGATAGGCACTTTCCAGATATATCAAGAATTTACGTTTTAAGAACCTTGAACACATTTTCCTTCCGTATCCTATTAATCATAAACCGTTTTTTCTTAATGTTCCTGATTCTAGAAAATCTTTGAGAGAAATAGAATCTTATATAAGGAAAAGTTATTTTGAGGTCTGCTGCTGTCTGAACTTACAAGACAGCATGCTGACGTGCTCTCCCCCCACATACACACAACACACTCCCTGTCACACTCCACACACACCCCACACCCCCCGCATTTGAAAAGCATGTTGCAGTCACTTGCATGCTGGGTTAGCTACCACCATGCACTGCTCTCTGTGGCCACTGCAAGAGCTGCTAATGCGGCCACGCCAATGCGCTGTCGGTGTGGACAGTCTACAGCGCTTTCCCTACTGTGCTCTATGAAGGCTGGTGTAATTCAAAGAGCTCTACATCTGCAAGTATCAGAGGGGTACAGAGGGGTAGCCGTGTTAGTCTGAATCTGTAAAAAGCAACAGAGGGTCCTGTGGCACCTTTAAGACTGACAGAAATTCTGTTAGTCTTAAAGGTGCCACAGGACCCTCTGTTGCTTTCTACATCTGCAAGTGTAGCCATGCCCTCAGTATTTAACTCTGGTTAGCAATTTCAATTAAAGGTTATAGACGAGCCTGGGGATAAACTCAAACTAGCCTGAGTCAAAAGCCAAAGCCTGGTCTACACTAGAAAATTAGGTCTGTTTAACTACTTTGGTCTGAGGTGTGAAAAATCCAGACCCCTGAGCTGCATTAAGGCAACCTAAGTCCATCGACCTAGCTACCGCCTCTCAAGGTAAGTCTACACTGCCACTTTGATATTGATATTACTTATGTTGCTTAGGGTTATGAAAAAACCTGTAACTTGCATCGCTAAGTGACCTAAGCACTGTCCACACCAATGCTATAACAGTGGGAAACTCTCCCACCATCACAACTTCTGCCTCTCACGAAGGTGGAGTAATTATGCCACTGGGAGAGCTTTCTCCAGTCAGCAGTGCTGCTGCATCAGAGCAGCTGTGTCAATGTAGCCCTTCTTGTTAGGGCTACTCTACACTGGCAAAGTTAAAGCGCTGAAGTGGCAGCGCTTTAACATGGCTTGTGTAGTCACATCAGAGCGCTGGGAGAGAGCTCTCCCAGTGCTCTAAAAAAACCACCTCCACGAGGGGCGCGGCTCCCAGCGCTGGTACACTGTCTACACTGGCGCTTTACAATGCTGAAACTTGCTGCGCTCAGGGGTGTGTTTTTTCACACCCGAGTGAGAAAGTTGCAGCACTGTAAGTGCCAGTGTAGACAAGCCCTTAGGCTATGTCCTCACTGGGGGGGGAGGGGTGTCGATTTAAGATACGCAAATTCAGCTACACGAATAGCGTAGCTGAATTCGACGTATTGGAGCCGACTTACCCCGCTGTGAGGACGGCGGCAAATCGACCTCCGTGGCTCCCCCGTCGACAGTGCTTACTCCTACCTCCACTGGTGGAGTACAAGCGTCGATTTGGGGGATCGACTGTCGCGTCCCGACGAGACGCGATAATTCGATCCCTGAGAGATCGATTTCTACCCGCCGATTGAGGCGGGTAGTGTAGACCTGCCCTTAGGGCTGGTCCACACTAACCCCCCAGTTCGAACTAAGATACGCAACTTCAGCTATGTGAATAACGTAGCTGAAGTCGAAGTACCTTAGTTCGAACCACAAGGTACTTACCGCGGTTCCACACGCGGCAGGTTCCCCCATCGACTACGCATACTCCTCTCGCGGAGCAGGCGTACCGGCGTCAACGGCGAGCACTTCCGGGATCCCAGAAGATCGATTGCTTACCGCCAAACCCGGAGGTAAGTATAGACCTACCCTGAGGCCTTGGCTACACTCAGGGGTGTGAAAAAACACCCCCCCCCCCCAAGCGCAGCGCTGTAAAGCGCCAGTGTAATCAGCGCCTGCAGCACTGCACGCTCGCTCGCAGCGCTGCAAGCTATTCCCCTCGGAGAGGTGGAGTACTTGCAGCGCTGCGAGAGAGCTCGCACAGCGCTGTGAATCCGCAAGTGTAGCCAAGGCCTTAGACTTGCCCTCAGGGAGGTGATTTAACTACAGCGATGGGAGAACCGTTCCCCTTGTCCACTCTGCAGCGTTTTAAGAGTAGGCAAGTGCGGAGTGGCTGAGCCCTCAGGCAGGTCTCCACACGTGTAGCTGGGGGTATGATCCCCAACGGGCAGAGACACACCTGCACTAGGCCTAAACAAGTTAAAGTTAGAGCGTAGCCGCAGCCGGGCACCCCACGGACGCTGTCCGGGGACTCCGAGTGCCGCAGCGAGCGAGCTGGACCAGAGCTGGCCGCTGGGTCTCCTGGAGCTGGGAATCGCGGCCCCAGCTCCCGGTGGAGCCGCTCTGCCCCTCACGACTAGCGGCGGCACCGAGTTAAAAACACGCGTGGGGGGG